GTGCACTCGACTTGGTCGATGGGTATTACCAATAGCTCATGAGAGCGAGTGATATTTCCCTGACAGCAGTGAGCACTTCAAGCGGCATGCTCTGGGGTGGCTGTTAATGTGTCAAGGGCTGTCAAATGCACCAGTAACATTTAATCGTCGTGTGACGCAGTTGTTCAGGCCCCATAGGGCGTATGTACAGACATACTTTGACAACATTTTCGCTCACAGTCGTGCGAAGCACGAGAGGACGGATGAGGAGAACCACATCGTTCATTTAGGAGCGGTGCTCGAGTGCAAGCGAACGAACAAACTATACGCCAATGCGGACCAGTGCATCTTGGCGCAGAAGAGATTCCCTTTTAAGGGAGCTTTATTGGGAAGCGAGGTCTTCGAGCGGATCCCGTTAAGGTTAAGGCCATTGTAGACTGGCCGGTTCCAAAGAACCAGAAAGACTTGCGTAAGTGGCTTGGACTCGCCAGCTACTTGCACAAGTACAGCGTAAACTAAGCAGAAAGGACCCGACTATTATCCAATCTCCTTAAAAAGGATGCGGAATCGTGTTGGAACACCGAAAATCAGGAGGCTTTTAATGGGGTCAAAGACAGATCCTGCAAGCACCAATACTTGCGCTGCCAGACCCTGATCGTCCTTTCAGCGTCGTCTGTGACGCTTTGAACTTTGCTATCGGCTGTGCACTTCTGCAAGCAGACGCCGAGGGGCGAGATCGGGTGATCGCGTTCGAATCTCAACAGCTCAAAGCTGCAGATAAGAACTACCCTTTTCATGACAAGGGGATCCTAGCGATGAAGTATGCCCTTGTCAAGTTCAGGGTCCACCTGCTCGGCTCCAAGCCGATTGTAATGTATACAGATCATGCGTCTCTGCGACTCAGTCGCCCCACCTCTCGCAGAGAATGGCTAGATGGCTCTACTTCTTTGCAAAATATAACTTCGAGGTGAAGTATAAGCCGGAAAAGCAGAATGCTTCGGCTGATGCGTTGTCACGCAGACCAGACTATGAGCTTGCTCATGTTACAGCTGTAACGTCGTCTGTGACGGATTTGATCCGCACCGCGTATGCGGGTGATGGGATGTGTGTAGCGCTGCTCCGGGCTCTCGGGGGCAAGGGGGTTTGGAGACTCGAACAAGAAATTGTCACCAAGACTGCGTGCACGAGTGCACCGATACTCGTTGATTAACGGCTTGCTATATTATTTCACCGATTCAACTGATACACCACGAATTGCGGTTCCTTATGATAAGAATTTGAAATATCTTCTTTTCTATGAGGCTCACGACACGACGCTCAGTGGTCATCTCGGTCGTGAGAAAACGTACAACTCTGTGAGTCACCACTATCAGTGGCCAAGCTGTACAAATAGATGAGCACCTATGTGCGCACGCGTGAGACGTGTCAACGGGTGAAACCCTCTCCAAATGCGGCGGCGCCGCTGCCAGCTTACTGGAACCCACTGGGTGCTGGCGGTCCATGAGTTTGTACTTTGTGCCTGGCCTGCCGAAAGATTTGGCGGGCAACACTGTCGTGATATTCGTCGACCGGTTGAGCAAGATGGCTCATTTGGCGGCGGTGCCAGGCACCATCGACGAAGTCGGTACAACAACGCTGTTCGGGGATCGTTCTTCCGTCACCACGGACTCACAGAGTCGATTGTCTCTGATAGAGACCCCCTTTTCACGGGAAAAGTTTGGTCGACTATCTTCAAGGTGCTCGGCACCAAGTTGGATATGTGCAGACCAATGGTCAAACCGAAAGGGC